AGCAAGGGGGCGGGGGTGGGGGAGGGTAGTCCACGAGCGGAGGGCGACCGAAGGGGTAGCAGTTCAGAGCTCGCAGGTTGCCCGGCTCAGCGTGTAGTTCCTCCAGTAACTGGCAGCCTTTCCCGGCTCCGATCAAGCCGAAGTTCCGGGATGGCGTTCCGGGCCTTAAGGTGTTAAAAGGCGGGAGTGGGGTCCAGAGTCCTTCCCTCAGTCCGGCGCTCCCAGTGTCACCAACCTCCAAGTCCACTAGGCTGGCACGCTAGGAGTTAAGTCTGCCCGCAATCTGCAAGACTGGAGCCGGAGAGGGGGAGGAAAGGGGAGCGAGGGGGGGAGCGAGGGAGAAGGGGGCAGCAGACTGCAGGGAGACAGCGCCAGGAACCCCCTCCCCAGGGACCTGGCCCCTGGGCCCCCAGCCCCAAAAGAGGCCCTGCCCTCCCCGGGGTCGCGCTCTCTTCCCCGCCCTGCCCCCGCCCTCCAGCTTTGTGTCCCCAGGAGGGTGGGCTGCAGGATTTCCAGCCAAGCCTCGGCTGCCAGTTCAGTTTTTCCAAACCCTCCAGTCGGGGAAGGCGGGAGCCCTGTCAGGATAAGAGTCCCCCCCCCCTCCCCCCCCCGCCCGGCCCGGGGGGGGGGGTGACGGGTTACCCAGCCAAGCCCCGGCGCCCAGTTCAGTTTTTCCAACCCCCCCAGGCGGGGAAGGCGGTAGCCCTGTCAGGATAAGAGTCCCCCCCCCCCTCCCCGCCCCGGCCGGCCCCTCTCCCAGCCTTTCGTTTCCGGCCCCGCACCTTTTCCAAACTCCTTTCCCTTTCCGACCCTGGCCCCAGCGCCCCCTAGCCCCACCTCTATTGGTTCTTAAGTTCCAAGTTCAGGTTGGAGGGGGCCAGGTGGACTCCATAATCTTAGAGAGGCGCTGGTCCAGCCTCCCTCGGCTAGCCGACCCTGAGACACGGGGGCGTCGGCCTGACTCCCAGCCTGGTGCCGGCCCCATCTCCGGGCACGGCCCCTGGCCCAGGGAAGGTGGTTCTGGGGTCTCCCGCTCCCGGATGGAGGCGGTGTTGGGGCGTCGGCAGAGCTGCGGCAGGTGCCAGGTCCTAGGGCAGGCTTCGAGGAGGGGCAGTGTTCCGAGCGCTGGCACGGTGCTGTTCAGAAAGTCTATTATATAATAATCACCATCTATCAGGAAGCCAGGCATCTGGACTGAGTGGGGAAGCCAGCGTGCCCTGATCCGCCGCCAGGGCCCAGGAAGGTGCCTCCACTAAGAAGGGGTACGGAGTGGGCGCAGCCTAGCGGTGAAATGATGTTGGGGGGGTTGAGGGGCAAGTGAGGGACTCTCGGCAATCCGACTGCGGCCCAGCAAACCCCTCCCCTCAAAACTCTGACTGACAGTGCCCTGAACCAATGATGGAAATCACTGGGGGGGGGGGCAAGGTTTAACCCTTTCTTGGTCCCTGGTTGCTTCGGGGTACAGAATTGTCCTGCCTGTACGGCTCCCACCTACTCCCGCTAGTGCACACGGGTGAGGCGTGAAACTGGAGGATCTGTTTTCTCTAGTGACTTTCTAGGAACAGAAAGATGGCTAATCTCAGGTAACAAGCAGTCCTGGAGCTCCCCCTCCCCATCCCCACAGTCTAAAAGTAAATTGTATTACAACCTGTGGGCAGTTTCCAGAAACAGTCCCAGACAGCGCTGACACACAGTCAGGAACAGGCACCTTCGTACACTTGTATCTATGCCGCACTTCACTGATAAATGTCAATACTGACACTAGCTGACACACCTGTGACATACCCTCATGACACCGCTACACACAGATACTTGGTAACATAGTATTTCCCCGAATTTTCCAGTAGAGGGAGCCGCTGGATTCCAGCAACCCACCACCCTTCCCTCGCTCCAGGGTTCCACCCTGAACTCGTGGCTGCCCAGAGCTCTGCTCAGCATCCCGACCTGGAACCTATGGTGGGGAATGAGTCACAGCCCCACCCAGGGGAGCGCTCCACATGGCTGCTCCACAGGACATACCAAACGCTCCTGAGCTTCATTATGCACCAGAGAGACCCCTGCAACCCAGCCACCACTCCTCCTACAAATACTGATTTATGGACCTACTATAAACAGGTCTTGTTCTAAAATAGATCATGAGAAGCCCATTGGATTGTTGTCATCTGTGTGATGAGGGACTGATCCACATAAATAACCCTGTTTCTTTTTTTCTTTTCTTCTTCTTCTTCTTCTTCTTCTTCTTCTTCTTCTTCTTTTTTTTTTTTTTTTTTTTTTTTTTTTTTGTTTGTTTTTTTGAGATGGGTCTCTCTATGTAGTCCTGGCTGACCTGCGTCTGCCTGCAGAGTGCTGGCATTAAAGGCATGCACCACCATATCTGGCCAATTTCAGCATTTTTATTTGTGAGTTTATTCTTTTTTGGGTTTTTTGTTTGTTTGACACACAATCTCCCTGTGGCCCCAGCTGGCCAGGAACTCACTGTGTAGAACAGGCTGGTTTCCATCTCACAGAAAGAAATCTACCTGTCTCTTCTTCCTGAGTGAGTGCTGAGATTAAAGACATGAGTCACCACACCAGGCAGTTTTTTTTTTTTTTGTTTTTTTTTTTATGCAGGCTGTCCTATTTGCCCAGTCTAGTTTTGAACTCCATAAACAGCTGAGGATGACCTTGAACTCCCAATCCTCTTTCCTCCACCTCCCATCACCACACTTAGATACTGCTTTCAGAAACCACCTCCACCTGAGCCTCCCAGACCTTGCCCAGTCAGTGCCCAAGTTCTAGCTCCTGGCACCATCAAGCCATCCAGTCAATATTCACAGAAGCCCTACTATGAACCCAGCGAGTTCTTAAATCATTCTCACAAGGAACAGAGGCTAGGAAACACGACTTGGGTCTTCAAGAATCTTTTGTAGCCAAACAGAGAAACAAGACAAAACACCTAAGTAAACACTCAGGTGAGTAGGGGACACAGATGTGACAAGTGGTCAGAACAGAGGCTAGAGCTGGAGACCATCTGTGAGGAGAGGACAGAAGAAGCAGGTTTTCTAGTGTCCTTTTTGAAGCAGCCAGTGCTCCTACTTGTTGGTATTCATTCTAGGTGAAAGGACAGTGGGATAGAGGGAAATTGTCCTGGAGTGAGGAGACTTGAATACTAGTCCTAGGTTTACTATTTTCTAGCTGTGTAACCCTATGTCTTTAAGAATGTAAGTCTTGTTGGGCATGGTGGCTCATGCCTTTAATCCCAGCACCCAGGAGGCAGAAAGGCAGGCAGATCCTCTGTGAGTTCGAGGCCAGTCTGGTCTACAGAGTGAGTTCCAGGCACCCAGAGCTACAAGGAGACCCTGTCTCAAAAAAGATGAAAAAGAAAAAAAAAAAGAATGTAAGTCTCAGTTTCCTCATCTGTGTAATGTGACCATAAAATCTTTCTTGTAGGTTTGTGGTGACATTGAGATAACAAGTAAGATACTTTTTAAAAAGTGCTTTTATAGCAGGGCGTGGTAGTGTATGCCTTTCATCCCAGCACTCTATGTCTTTAAGAAAGTAAATCTTGCTAGGCATGGTGGCTCATGCCTTTATTCCCAGCACCCCCGGGAGGCAGAGGCAGAAGCAGGTGTATCTCTGTGAGTTCAAGGCCAGCCTGGTCTACATAGTGAGTTCCAGGACAGCTGGAGCTACAGGGAGACCCTGTCTCA